TATTGACTGCATGATCATATCATCGTATTATTTACTGCCATGCGAGCCACAAAGTAAAGCTTGGCGAGCCGCATGAGGCTCGGCTCGTGAGCCGCGCAATGAGTAACACTGCTGTAGACGTTTATATACACCTGAAATGAATGCACTGAACATCTCTTTTTTTATTGCACACACAACACTGTATATCCTCCTGGAACATGGAAACATGAAGAATTGGAATTAAGTTGTTATATTTTTCCAATGGAAAATTTTTTATAAAAATGCTTGCAGCATTAAAGGAATAGTTCATCCAAAAATGAAAATTTGCTGAAAATGTACTCACCCTCAGGCCAATCCATACACGGTGATCCATATTACAGTTTCTAAATGTTATTATCTTTGGATTTTTTAATTTCTTTGTAATCCCAACATCTGGAACATTAAGTCTGGCCGTCAAATTATGCACAATAAAAGTGTTTTAAGTTCAAATTTGATTTCTAGTTGAGTTTAAAAGAATAGTTTACCCAAAAATGAAAATTAGCTGAACATTTACACACCTTCAGGACATCCAAGATGTAGATGAGTTTGTTTCTTCATCAGAACAGATTTGGAGAATCACTTGCTCACCAATGGATCCTCTACAGTGAATGGGTGCCATCAGAATGAGAGTCCAAACAACTGATAAAAACATCACAATAATCCACAAGAAATCTTTCAGTCGATCAATTAATGCAGGGGTCACCAAACTCGGTCCTGGAGGGCCAACCCTAATCAAACACACCTGAACCAGCTAATCAAGGTCTTACTAGGTATACTTGAAAGTTCCAGGCAGGTGTGTTGAGGCAAGTTAAGCTAAACTCTGCAGGACACCGGCCCTCCAGGACCGAGTTTGGTGACCCCTGATTTTATGTCTTGTTAAGTGAAAAGCTGCATGTTTGTAATAAACAAATCCATCATTAAGATGTTTTTAACTTCAAACCACGGCTAAAATAACTCTAAAGTCCTCTATCCATAAAATTGCTTTCTCCAGGGAAAAACTTGTCTCGTCTGAGTCAGGAGAGAAATATGCACAAATCAAGCACCATTTACAAGCAAAAACAGTCCAAAACAGTTCTAAACAAATATGTTGGTGGATTTGATGGACTTTTTCACTGAAGGAAGCATTATCATGGTTTATGGACTTGTATTTTGTCCAGAAGCAATGGTTTAAAGTTAAAATGCCTCCTTGATGAATTTGGTTCCTATAAACACAGCTTTTCACAAGACATTAATTGATCAGCTGGAGTCGTGTGGATTACTTGTGGATTATTGTGATGTTTTTATCAGCTGTTTGGACTCTCATTCTGACGGCACCCATTCACTGCAGAGGATCCATTGGTGAGCAAGTGATGTAATGCTAAATTTCTCCAAATCTGTTCTGATGAAGAAACTAACTCATCTACATCTTGGATGGCCTGAAGGTGAGTACATTTTAAGCCAATTTATTTAACTATTCCTTCAAAAATAGATATTTTTTTCTAAATTTCAGTTTAAACAGATAAATCAGACTTTGCCATTTGTTTTTCTGATGAATTTCATAATTTGTGTAAACATATGGAAAAATTGCAGTTTTGATGTGCATTTTTTATATGAACAACTTTCAATGGAAAAATATTGTAACCATTTATTTGTGTCAAATTGCTAAATGTCATATTTAATTGGAATATTGTTCATTTTTACCCTGTTCAATGTGAAAAGACATGATGTACCTTACAAAGAACATTATTAAAAAAGGGACATGTCTTTCTTGAGAAAGAAAATCATACTGTGCTTTGAAAGCCCAGGATGCCCACTTTAAGATACACCAGATATATAAAACTGTGCCAATTGAAAGTGCCAAAAATCTATGTCCCCTGCAGAGGACAAAAATGAATTGCTGGGTCCCAGGAGGAAACATACAAGAGATGTTCATGACCTGATAGAACGTTCTATAATCATGAAATCAAATATATATTCATGTTTATTACAGTTTTATGTTTGCATTTCACAATACATACATTCCTTATTCCATTTCCCCTATAGGTGAGCACCTCAAAACAGAATTGCTTTGTGACGTTTGAAGACAACTCCAAGTTCTGGGTGCTTTGGAAAGATATACAGCATGGTAAGAGGTTGAGTGGAATATGCATCGTACAAACCCAGGATTTTTAATTTCAGAAGAAGCAGCAAAAATTCATCAGCAAGCTAGAAAGCAGATATTTGGTTTGAAATGTCAGTGTGTCCTATGAGATGTGTGTGTGTGTGTGTGTGTGTGTGACAGTATGGTATTACTGCTTTGTGACGAGGTAACTGAAGCTTTATTCTCTCGTTTTCTCGCACAGCTGGTGTCCCTGGGGAAGAACCCAAATGCTCAGTGTGTTCTGACATGTCTCTGGTTCCTGGTAATGAAATTCTTATCTGTGGAAAGTGTGGAATAGGTGAGTCTGAGGCAGACATGGGCACTGCCTGTATTCTAGCTCATCACGTAACACACAAAACCTGCATACATCGCAGTAAAACAGCTTGTTTTTGCTTGGAGAATGTAGTGATTCATTTTAAAGAACTAGTAACTCAGAAACTCGATTAGTGATGCTTGTATAACTCATTCTTAGGGTTAAGGATTTGAGATTTGAGATCATTTGTATGCTAATGTACACCGAATGTACAGCTGACTGTTAGCAGACAAACAAATTTAGATTTAGATTTTCTCTCCTCCAGGAAAACAAAATATGAATGACTCATCTTGCAGAGGTAGATACAAATGTGTCCAATAAAATATCCAATTATTATAATTATTAATGATGATAATAATAATAGTAATAATAACATAATTTTGTCAAGTGAATGCTTTCTACAATGAGCATGTCCCTCCCCCTAAATAATAATAATAATAATTATTATTATTAATTTAGGGGCAAATAATTTATTTGACGAAGTTAAATGATAGTAATTTATTGTGTTAAATGAATATATTACAGAACATCTAAAATAATAATAATAATTTAAATTATTTTATGTGGGTTTGGGTGGAATGGCTGATGGTTATTCTGTTGGTGTCAACCACCTAGCATACACCCAAAATGTCCTACCAACTACATAGCCACACCCTGGCAACCTAAAATTCAAGCCCATATCCATATCCATTTCTTGGGGGGGGGGTGACTAAACAAATGTTAATTTTTTTTTTTTTTTCATTTTATTGTAATGTAATGCATTTGAACTATTTGCAAATAATAAATGACGTAAAATGTGTCATTCTGCATACTATTGGCAGCTCCAGGGCTTTTGTGAAGACTACAGATCATACTTCTGCATCTCTGCTACTTCTGTGTTAGCACAGATTTACCAAAAAAAGCTAATTTCTACTGCATAGACAGCAAACGTTCATTAAAAGCCCTTCTTGTCAGCAGTGAATTGCTCATTTAATCTTATGCCTAATATCTTATGCCTGAAATCTGTGAATGTTTCTTGTTTCATCACATTCATGATTCACAAAGGCCAAATTGGACAGTATTGCTGTCGGTCGTTTCACATTTCTATCTTAAAATGGTTTACAAAAGCAAAATATTTCATGTCCGGCTAATAGCTTCTTATCTTGCACTCTATCAACTGATTGTTAGAACTTGCCCTCAGCTTTTGTGAACAGTTATAGCATGCTGTTATTGTCATGCTAACAACAAACAGTGATGCAAAGCATCATCAAGATTAGCAAATATTGGGGGGACGAATTAGCCATATCTGATTATTCAATGTCTGTGGTGGTTACGGCTCTGCAGCACTCGCAGTTTCTTCAGAAAATGTCGAAATCTAGTAATATAAAAGTTGCTATGACTTCTTGCATGATGCAACGGCTGGGGGACCCTTCTGCCTATGGATAAAACTGATTAACATGTACTTGTGGTAATGTATTTAAAAAAAACTGGAGTGGAAAATGTGGTACAACTTGCATTATAAATGCCATAGCGTCTACAAAGCAAATAGAGAACTATTCTGGGTGTCTTTGATGACTTTAAGGGGGTTTGGTAAGACCGCTCTACAGTAATGACTCGCTGGAGACGCAGAAGTGGCTCTCTGAAGTCTCAAGGATTAGTGTCAACTTTAGCTCTGCTGTTCATATTTACACATCTGAATGGGTCTGAGTTGATCTGTTTTTTTTTTTTTTTTTACATTTGTCCGCCGTACTTCCACATGCTTGCCTTGCATCTTCAGGCTATCACCAGCTCTGCCACTTGCCCCCAGTGGAGAGCTCAGCTGACCTTTCTCCATGGTTCTGCAGGAAGTGCATTTTTGCTTTAGCTGTGAGAGTAAGTCTTTCATATCCGTGCATATACACTATTTTCTCTTTCCATGTAAATGAATGGGGATCAGGGAGGCCATGTTGCTGACGTGTGTTTCTTTATGTGGCAGAAAGGGGGAGCTCTGAAAAAAGGGCCAATTTCTAAAGCGCTGCAGGCCATGAAGCAGGTGCTGCCCTATAATCCAGAGGAGCTGGAGTGGGACTCTTTGCATCGTACGAACCAGCAGCAGTGCTACTGCTACTGTGGAGGACCTGGAGAGTGAGTCTGCCTCGTGTCTTCTATTTCCTTTCTTTTTGTTCTCTTCCTTGCTTGATTTCTTTTCCTGCTAGAGGTCTAGGCATTAGGCCCCCTGTATTATTAACTGATTCAGTGTAGTGTGCGCACAGGAACGCAAAACTGTAATGTACTGGGCATAACATCTGTCACATTGTTTGAAAGCACTGGGATGTTTGATTAATTGTAGTGAAGTGGTTTGTTTGTGTGTTTCAGTGAAGTAAAAGCAGTGAGGAGAACGTGACAAATGCACTCACACATCTCTGCCTCGTGTGCTCGGTTGCTGTCTGCTCGCTCAGCACAATTATTTTGATCAAAACAAAATTGTATGTGTTATGCAACCAACAACAGAACAGGGACTGTCACAAGATTGTTGAAAAATAAACAGTCCCTACTTTGCTTCGTAACATTAGTCATCGGATTATTATTAAAGCAGTTGGCTTTATAAGTGCGCTGTGACACTGAATAGAGTTCAGAAAGTTAAACGTAAGTTATACATTTTATGTTTTACTTGCAGTGACAATAACCAGAGCAGTGTTTTTATTGTTAACTACTAAAAACTAAAACTATTTAAAATCATTTTATTAATAATTAAAATGAAGGTGAAAAAATAAAATATAAATAAAAGATGAAAAACCTAAAGGTAATATTAAAAGTATTTTAAAGCTTAGGTATATAAAGCTTAGAAATGTTATCTTGTCAACAAACTGTATTAAAATAAGTTAAAGTACTACAATTACTAAAACTAATGCGGAAATAAAAATGAACTGAAGCTAAACAGAAATACTAAAAAACTATTAGAAATAAAAATGATTAGAAATATAAAAAATAATAAAAATGACAAGTATAACAAATAAAAAACTGAAAATATAAAAATAGAAGCCAGTTCAAAATATTAATAAATACGGTAATATTATCAAAATAATACTAAAATAACACTTATTTGTTATATGAGTATTTACTAACATAATTATGCAAAATGATATGATTCCTCTTTCAAATCTCTTACCCAGTACATTATTTTACTGAAATAGAAAGGAAATGATGTATTTACATTTTTATGATGCCTTTGTGATCAGCTATCGTGATCTGTATTTGATGTTATCGTTCAGTTCATGAAAATATTAAACATGCTACCCTCATGTCATCCACCCAACTGTATTGTATTACAGCATTACTAAAAATACAAGTGTTGTATTAGTGATTATCAAAACCAAAATATTATTACTGTGCTTAGTCTCTAAAAATGGGATTGGTGCCATTCGTATTATTCCTACTAGACATAAAGCTTCTAGAAACATCTTGGTAATGCTGTGCTAATGGTTTTGCTATTGCCGCTGTTCTGTACACACCATCTAAATGGAAAGAAAAAGGTTTGAGCATAACTCCATCACTCCACCAGTTTTGCTTGCTTTTATTTTTGTTTATACTGAAATGTAATTGGTCTGTTTAGGTCTTTGTGTTTTGTGTCTGATAAGAAATATTCGACAGTTCATTTCTTATTCTCTGATTTTCCCATCAGGTGGTATCTGAAAATGCTGCAGTGCTTTCGCTGTGAGCAGTGGTTTCATGAGGCGTGTACGCAGTGCCTACAGGAGTCCATGATGTTCGGAGATAGGTATGTACTGTACAGGGCTACATTTATCACCGAATTTATCACAACAAAAGAACTTGCATCTTTGCATCAATATTCCGCCATCCTTTAGTATGGATTTCTCATCTTTCCCCTCAAATCTATGAACTTCCCTGAAAAGCAATTGGCTTTATATCATTAAATATAATTAAAGTGATCTTTTCAGTGATTTTGTCATGGCTGAGGGGTATTTTTAGGCACAACTTGAAAGTGGAGAATTCCAGATTTTCAAATAGTTGTATCTCGGCCAAATATTGTCCTATCCTAACTAACCATACATCAATGGAAAGCTTATGTATTCAGCTTTCAGATGATGTATAAATCTCCTTAATGCAGCATCGCACACAAGCGAGATTACATGCGTTAGGGGATTTTTAACAATTTTTCTCTCCAAGGTGTGTAATTTAAATGATTCAATTTTTTTGCTGTCTTTTCTGTCATAGGTTTCACTTGTTCATTTGTGCGGTGTGCAATAAAGGAGTGGAATACATCAAGCGGCTGGCGCTCAGATGGTAAATGGCAGCTCTTCTTTTCCCCCTCGCAAGTGATTGCACCCAGATCCGTGTCAGAATTATATAGTCAAAGTGTCGGATGTGATTGATGCGGGCCGGAGATCCATCCTGAGCTTTTTCTCTCAAGTGCTTTTTTTTTTTTTTAGAGTAGAGTTTGTCTGGACATTGATTCTTGCTTTTTGTCCCAAATGGGAAATAGCTATTTGAAACGAAGATTTGGTGCTGAGAGGATTTCTTATGATAGCAGGGGATTACTCTTGAAATTCAGTGAGCTGGATGTGTTGGATATTTAGGTATGAAGCCAGTCTCGGTTCAGATTTAAGCTTTATCCTTCTTAAAAAGTCTGATGTGTTAAAACGGACGTGGCCTTGTGAACAGAACGGAGCTCTATTTAATGTTGTTGCCTCTAATTTCAAATGGCTAGATATTTTTGTTTAAAGCCAGTTTGTTTGTTATAAAGCAAATAGCCAATAAATAAATTGGCTTAAAAATCAGTATCAGTATCAGAATCCAATTTGCAGGTTAAAAAAAAAAAAGAAAGAAAGAAAGAAAAAAAATCTGAATTATGAATCAGCTATGATCGGCGCATCGCTAATTAAAATACTAAGTAAAAGGCCTCAAATTTGAAGTAAAATCTGGGATGTCTTTTTCTATCAATTCTTCAATAGGTAGATCTTGTCTTTCATAAAGGCCGAGGTCAGGGATCTTGGGCCTAAAAAGGTTGGTGACCACTGTTCTAGTAACTATAAACATGCCATTCCATTTTGTGCCACTAGTTGTGCAAAAATGACACACTTCACCTTCAAAGACATTTAAAACCAAATAAAAACAGTGCTAGAGATTTGACTGTAGACGATTGCTGTAATTGCTAGGTACTGAAAAGCAGTTCCTTTGAGAGAAATGGGTAGTGAAAATTAGCCAGTTTTTTTGTTGTTGTGCATCATCTCTTGTCATTCTAACAGCTTGTTTGTTGTCGAGTGTAATCTGAGAAAACAGCACTGCTAAATTGCTCACACTTCTCTTTATGGAAGAGTTAACAACTACAGCAAAGCCTGTGGGTTTCATTTGTCTTCATTGAAACATGGCAGCTCAAGGCACCAGCGAAGGAAATGTCTCATAATAAAACACCATATCATACAATCAGTTTCTCTCAAAGACTTTCTTACCTATTTCTTCCCCTTCAAGCTCTCCAACACCCCTCAGTCTGAACGGGGCCAGTATATTCTTGATGCCCTCAACAACTATAAAAGCAAGTAAGAAGAAATGTTTTCCGTTTGTTTTCTCTCAATGAAGTAATGCGTGGACTTTGAATACATTTTTTTCTATTTTTTATTTATTAAAAAAAAACATAATTATTACAAATATATATTTTTTTAATAATTTAAAATTTGAATTATTATTAAAAATACATTTTATAATCATGATAATAATATATAAATATTTAATATATATATATATATATATATATATATAC